TGTAAGACCATTAAGGGTTATACCTGATGGGCTAATCTTGCATCTACACATAGTCCTTGGGCCTTCATAAGATGGCTGGACCCAAGGACCATTTAGTGTAAATATTGGGCCCATTAAGAGCCCATGGTGATGGACTTAGGGGGTCACTGTATTCAGTAGTGAATTTGGCCAAGCCTTGTAACAGAGGCTAAGCTGAACCCATGTGGCTGATGTGTAGATCAATGATAGGGTCCCACGCCATACAAAGAGAGCCAAACTAGATAGCATTAAAAGGAAGTGAGCCTAAAAGCTTAATGAGCCTATAGCCCGTTTCGAATTGGGCTAATTTGATTAATTAAATAGGAGCAAATTTGGGTATGGACCAGCAGATAAGGATAAGAGGATAACTCTTATTCACTTAAAGAGTCAATATCCAAATAGAGATTTGGATCAAGAAACTTCTAATTTGATTAGGAGTTGCTAATCTTGATCTGTAGATACGATAAGGGATTATCCTTATCACTTAAAGAGTTCAGATCCAAATAAAGATCTGGATCAAGAAACTCCTAATCAGATTAGGAGATCATCTCTTTAAGGCTATATATAAAGAGCAAGGTGGACCTGAAAATAGATATCATAGAAAACACAGTTTGACTACTTCTATCTTCAGTTCTTTCTCTCCCTGCTCTTGCCGCCCTACCCTATTCGATCTCCATTTTCATGGAACTAATGAAGATTAGATCTTGATATTGTTTCTTGTTAGAAGAAACAATTCTGAAGCTGTGGTCACTACCCCACTCGATTCTTGCTGAAGAATCAGAAGTTCTTGGTGAAGAACTACCTGTTGATCCTACCTCATCCTAAGCTGTGTCATCTTCATTGAAGAGAGGATTTGGTACACTCTTTGGGCATGAACACCTGCGTTTGGAGGAGCATTTTTGCGTGGATTTCGTATCAGGTATACCTCTCTCTAATTTTGGTTTCAAATTTAGTCCGGTTTGGTTACAAGAACGAACCTTAAAAATGTAGCTTTCTAAACTAGGAATGCGATTCCCGGATGGGAGAAAAGGAATTTTTAAAATTTCGTCCAACCTTCCCACAAGGTTCGGCCATCCATATGATGGATCTCCCATCCCTCCAGTGGTATCAAAGCCAGGTGCTTATCTTGAACCAAATTAGATCAGATTTAGATCTGCGCAAAAGGGCGGAAGGCATTCTATCGGATTTGCGCAATTAGTGTTTTTTCTGGGAATTGGTTCCCAGATTATGGGCGAATGATCTAGAAAATAAATCTTTATTGCTCTGTTATATTTATGGAATTGTTCTGTGAATGTTTCTGGAATATTTGGGCTACACGTGTGATGGAGACCGAAACATTCAGGTGCCAAGATTTGCGCGCCCTACTATTTCTTTTCTATTCAATTTGGTCTGTAAATAATTTTTTTAATTTTTTAGACAAATTGTATAGGAATTCGATGTGATGTAATAATAGAAATATTTATTTTCATCTAGAGATTGTTGGAGTGCGCGGCAGAGGAGAAGAAGATTTCGTAGAAGGAAGTTCTAGGATCTGCAATTTTGAAGATTTCAATTCTGCAATCTATGATTAATTTTCTTTATAGGTTTGCAGGATGTCCAAGAAAATCACAGTGCAGCCCTCTGATTTCATTTTCTTGATAATTTTGATTATCTAAATTTAATTTATTTTTTAAACCGTTATTCTTGAATTAAATCTTGAACTAGACACCAAAACTTGGGCCGATTTGTACCAGATTTGGTCCAAAGTGGTTGGACCAAATTGTTGGTTCGATGGGGTTGGTGTTTCTGACCCAAATTCGATTTCGGCCAGAGGGTTGATGGCCCACTTCAAGTTTTAATTCGCCCCCTATAAAACACAATTTTAATATGTTAAAACTGCATTAGCCCTAATTCAGCTATATGAGTCAAATTGCTTTTTGCAGTACAACCCATGTACCTAGATAATGTTATGGGCTCTATTGGGTTGATACTAATTTAACCTAATTAATTTAGGGTTTTACAGATATTTTAATTGATTGGATTAATTTGTTTCATGCATGTGATGTATGGATGTGTGATGTGTTGAATGCACATCATTGCCATGGTGTCCATGATATCATTGGATCATCTCCCTAATTGATGGGCCCCACATCAACTTTCTCCCCAAGAGGAACCGTGCGGAACCCTAGCTGTTTAGGGTCCGTTTAAATTTGACTTTGAGAAAGTCAGTGGAAGCCACTTTGATTTGACCTAAATCAGAACTAGGGCATAATATTTTGTTCCCTCCTATGAAATATAAGTGCATGTGATAGGGAGATTCATATGATGACTCTCTAAAGGCCTTCCATCATTAGCATGAAAATGTGTCATTTAATAATGAGGAGATGCACCATAAAATTGGGTTATCCATTTGCTGTTGGATCTGTTGGATTGTTTCATTAGATGATAGGGGCGTCATAGACCGATGTGGGAGGTGCCTATCCTAAAATGGAAGACTCTCTCACGATACATTGACGTTCACGAATATGATGGGTAAGAACTTACTAGACAAAACGGTTTAACCTAAAATGGCAATGAACCTTGTTTGACCGAGGCCAAAGGGAAATCTCATAAGATGAGTGGATATGATCCTTCACAGAAGGTGGTGGGGTTATAAAGTTGAAACAGTTGGCTCCATGCACTGTATGTGATTTCCCACATTACCAGAGACATAGTTCGCAATCTCCGTCACTGAGATAGGAGGGAAATCTTAGAGATAAACAAATGGAAATGGAATATTGATTAAAAGCTATTTCTATGCAAATAACATGAATCAAATCAGGTTGTGGACTAATATTTGCTTTGCCTATTATCAGAAATGGCAAACGAACAATTCGCCAAACTGTAGGATGATAATAAGCTTCAGGGCCCAAATTACGCTAACTAGTTCCGTAACCTTATGCTACTTTTGACATCCGAGAAATTGGACAAAGTTGYTAAGAACCCTGCTTTGGATCGTCCGGGTGATAGGGCTTCTAAGGCCCGTAGGAGGGAACATCAAGAATGGGAGGAGAAAAACTCTCTTGCCCAGTACTACATCATAGCCTCCTTAGACAACCAGAGACAATGACAGTTCGATCAGATTGAAGTGTCCAAGGATATCTTGGATAGTCTAAGGACCATGTAAGAAGAGTAGAATCGTTCTACTTGTCGAAAGGTCCTAAAGTAGTTTATGACCGCACAAATGTCTAAGAACTAACTGGTTCATGACCATTATCTTAAGATGATGAGATATATTAATGAATTGGAGGCTCTTGGATCTAGGATAGATCATGTCACCAAAGTTGATGCCATCCTGAATTCTTTGCTCCTTGCTTCAATCAGTTCATTATGAATTATAATATGAATAAACTAAATGTTAGCCTTCAGCAACTCAGCAATATGTTGTAGAGGGCTGAAGAACTGATAAAGAAGGATGAGCCCATAGCCATTGTTGAAGGTGGCAAATCGGACAAGAAAAAGAGGAAGACCAAGAAAAAACCTCAGAAGAAAGTTAGCAAGGCAAAAAGGCAAAAGAAGGACAAAGCATCAGATGCTTGTCACCTTTGCAAGCAGACCGGCCACCGGAAGAGGAATTGTCCTCAATGCCTGGAGACCAAGAAACAAGGTAATTTCGAATCTTTTGTCATAGAGACCAATATGTTAGTCACTTCTGGTTGGTGGCCGAGGTCTCTAGGATCAGAAGCGAGAACTCAAGGATCGAGCGAATAGTGATGACTCGCTCAACCAACGCCCCTATTTAAAGGAAAACGCACGACTCAGATTGCTTTGATCCAACGACCATGGAATTTCCGAACTGATAGCCTAAACCAACGTGTTACATGTGGTGTCAACCTCGGGGAGACAAAACAATGCCGAAGGAACAAGTCGGTCCGCCCATTGACTCCAGGTCAGGAGCAACCCAAACTAGATGACCCTTCGCGCCGTCTTGCACATGGCCACAATCGTTTGACACTGACACCCGTCCCGCACATGGATTTGCTCCAAATGACGACGACACCCGTACGGGGCATGGCTAGCGAACGTGGACCCTTCACACCCGTGCCGGCCACGGTCCTACGCTCTCGGCCCATCGTGATCCTCTAATTAGGCGAGAAGCAAACAAGAAAGTAGTCGCCACATAGTCGCCAAGAAGAGTCCTCAATAGCCAAGGCCGACACCTCCACACAATTGCATGATACTCTCTTCGACTGAAGCCGAGGTCTTTGCTCAACATGCCATCCGATGCCTCAACGCAGCTACGTAGTACTCTCTTCGGCCAAGGTTGAGGTATCTGCTTAATGCACTGCCCGACCTCGAGAGTGGGAGGCAAGTGATGTAGGTGCACTTGGTAGGCCCCGGATCACACCACGTGGCATCAGCCAGATGGGATCGTAGCTGCACATCTCTAATTGCCTCCAACCACTCCATGGCAAGGTCAGCTACAAAGGGGGTGCTCATCTCAAGGTAAAAGGATCTTACTCTCACTTGCTCTTTTGCATTCAGAATTCCATGAGAAATTTCCTTAACTATTAAGAATTAAGATCACAACCCTCGTCTCAAACCTAGTCCAAACCCTCTTTCTCACTTGGCTAACTTGACCGTTCGAATCTCCGCCCCTAACATAAAACTTAGGGCCTCTGACGCTTATTTTTCTCTGCCTCGGACACCAGCAAAATCCCCTCGGCCCCATCCTTAGCAGCAACAACACAGATTGTTGTTGTAGAAAAAAGTAAAAGAAAAGGGGAGGGCGTTAGATTCAACGACCACAATTGGCCTTCAACAGTCAACACCATGATTTTGTCGTGTTTTCCAAATCTCCATGGCTGCCTGAGTTGGTTCTGCCCTTGCTACTTATCAATCTCCCTGGATGATTTTGTTTTCAAAACCATTTTATCGTTGGGGTTTTTGTGGAAATTCTGTTTTCTAATGGATGCGGTATTGAACTAACACTTTCATGTTATCGGGAATGAAAATTTTATTACCTATGCAGACTTGAATCACTCGAAATTTTGTCTGTGAAGGTGGTGGAGGAGGAATAGGGATGCAACCACTCCCATTTCGTCTTCCGTCGCCCTCTGTACCAGATGGGCAAGAACAATTGTAACTCCCAGCCGTATTTGTGCAAATCGTTGATGGTAAGCAGTCATTCAAGGTAGGATCCGAGCATTCATTTATATCTGCAAACAATTTATGAAAAATTGGACTACAATTAATTAATGGAGATCAAATTTTTAGAGAGACTCTGCTTTTCTGTCAGAGTTCAGGAAGGTGAAATTAAATATTAAAGATCAAGTACCTTGGCATCCATGTTGGAGATAAGGGTTGCCTTGGTAGCCATCCAAACATTTGCATAGATATCCAAGCTCGTTAGGAGACTTATGACATCCGCTGTTGTTGCCACATGCGTAAGTAGTTGCGTTTCTCATTGTAACATTTTCGCAAGATTCATTTTCTATTGACCAGTCCATTACTGTTGGAACCCTTCCTCTGTTCTTGGTATAGAAATCAAAGCCAAAAAGATCAGCTACCGAAAAGTTGTACCACTCCTTGTCAGCCATGAAAGAGAATAAGCATGGATTGAAATCGGAGGAAGAGAAATTCTTGTTTACGGCCTCCAGAGTACAAGAAAAATACTTTAGTCCCCTGGTATTGGGGATGGTGGTCTGGCAATAACCCATCCCTGGATTGGTCCCTTCCAGAGTCTTGTTTTTTCCTTCACAAAAGCTGAAGCATCCGTGTTGAAACCGGCGGCCTCGATACCAGACGGTACTAGCAATGCCAGAAACAATGTAGGCTCGAGCGTCGCAACCGATGGCTGTGAATATATTATGGGTGTCGGAATAAGTGTAGGGCGTATCGCTCATATTCATGAGGAATGAGGTCGTGTTAGGGCTAACGATCGAGGAATTGTTGTAACAACTGTAGCCCATAAATGAATAGACGCGCAGTTGGCCTTGCAATGATACTTCTTCAACTTCCACTACTTTATCAGTAGACCAATAATCGATTTCCTCCCCTTTTCTGTCTTCACGAATGGAAATACCTGGTGCAAACAATTTAGGAGGGGTGAAAGTGTGGTTGCAGATTAGTTGGAAGCCAAATTCTTCTCTGTAACAGCGCGGGTCGTCTCCCATGCCGAATGGGTAGGGAACGGTGATGTTCCCACATTTATCTGGGCAGCCGGGCTTTGCCAGCTCTGACATGACTGACGATGATGATGTTGTCGCAGTTGTTAGGCACAGGAGAAGGAGAAGCACAACCTGCAAAGCCATTGTTAAGTTACTTTGAGAATGAGTTTCCATATGTGTATTGTTTATGTTATGTTAATTACTATATATGAGTAGAATATGAGCCGGCTGGGCTTCTTCCGTTGATTTCAACTCAACGACCTGCACTCCAATTTGAATCCTTCATGGAAGGATCGTCCTTCACATATTTAATTATAGTTTAAAGTTTAAACCTAATGTCGTTGATGACTTTGACGGGCCGGAGGCGATCACGTAGTTACGGTGTGAATGAGGTTTGCCTTTTTTTTTTGGTATTTTGAAATTTTTTGGTCTTGACCAGGCTTAGAAGCTCAAGCTAAAGCGATAATCTGTTTCTTGAGCCTTGTATTGGGTTGGGATGAGAGGGTAAGGTTGTGTTTTATTGTTGGGTTTTGGGGTAAGGAGGGTTACCTCTTCCCCTATTTTGATTTATCACCTATTTGATAATGGTTAATAAAATTTTTAGATGGCCCATCTTCCACCTGAGTGAATTTAGGGTAAAAAAGAAAATCTGATGTAGAAAACCTTCCGCCAATAACATTTTACTATGGCTGTGTTTGGTTTGAAAGAAAAAATAGGGAAAATATGGAAAAGATAAAGGAAATTTATAGACGCTATGTAAAGGTTTCTCTACCTTTCCCTTCCTTTCCTTACTTTTTTTCTTTCATATCAAACATAACCTATGTGATAGTATGATTAAAAGTTAACAGGCATTTTTCACTTTTGAACATTATAATAGTTGTTAAAGTTTTAAACACCTGCCCAGACTAAAATCCTATTTTATCTAAGGTTAAATTTCTTAAACTACCCTTATGGTTTTGCTAATTGACTAAGTGTATTTCTACTATTTAAAAATTGACTGACCCTACCCTTATTATTTTTGGCAATTGACTAGCTCTACTTTTACCGTTTGTATCCGTTAATATTCCATTAAATTCGTATACAGGTGATGTATATATTCTTTTTAAAACCCAATTTTACTCATATCATCTTTTTCCTTTCAACAGCAAACCGAACTGGTTCAGTCCTTAACCTGCTGCTACATTAGCCTCCTGCACCTCCGGCTCCTCTCTCACACACACTCCTCTCCTTCCCTTTTGTTTTATCTCCCTCTCTCCTTTGTTTTGTCTCCGCTATTGCTTGGATTCTCAATGTCAAAAAGGGGTAGCGGCCAAAACAGGGTTGTTGAACTCGATTTAGAGACCTACTTTCTTAAATAAAAGAAGGTCGTGAGATCGGTAGATCTAGAGGGTTTGGGTTCATCATTTTCTGTGATGAGTATTGCATGAGGATTCTGCAGACAGGTTTGGGTTGAATCATGAATCATGAATCAATCAGGATATACTTTACATATGGCCTAGACATCTCAATTACCAAACAACAACAAATAAGAGGATTCGCTGCACTTGATGGATTCACCAACAAATAAACAAGTCGGCTTATGGTAAAAATTGCAAATACGGATCATTGATATGTTTAGTTTAACAACCTGTGATTCGTTGGCTTCTTGATGGTCTGATTCCTTTAATTCAACGAGTAGGTGCTTTTGATTTTTGAAAAACCAAAAGAGGTACACAAAATCTTGAAGCTTAAAGGGGAGATGGGGGTGGGAACCAACACTATTTGATTARGAATTTTGACTCAGGAATTTGATATTTGTGGTTGTGCATTTGTTTCCCTGACCAAGTCTCAACACCTAGAGTAGATATGTTGTATGAAAAAGAGTAATTTTTTTCTTAACCATTGATACCTAGCAAAGCATTGTTTGATTCATTTTAATTGTTCATCACAATTATATTATTGGTATCCTTAAAATTAAAATATCCCTGTAGAATAATGCCAGTCCTGAGCTTTACCTTTCCATCATTGTTTTGCAAAGACGTCGGTGTTGGTGGCCCGGTTGGAGTGTTGGATTGCCGATTTGGTGGAAGAGGGAAGAAGAAACAGGAGAGAGAGAGAGAGAGAGAGGGAGTACAGGTTGAGAGAGTGAAATGGTTGTGTACCACTAGCACAACTATCGCCGGTGGGCAGTGGAATAGGGGAGAGTAGAGGAGGCAGGAGAGAGTGAAAAAGAAAATGGTAGGTCTTGATTGTAGACAAAATTAGCGGGGACCCGTGTGAGGCACAAGTTCTGTTAATAAAAGAATCACTACAAGAAAATAGATCTGTAGCTACAGACAAAACTGTAGCTATAGGTCTATAGAGTCGCGGTGGCTATAGGTAATAGCTACGGATGCTATCATTCGTAGCTAAAACTAACCTATAGCAGCTACGATTTTTTAGTTAACCGTGGCTACAAATTTGACTCTATAGAACAACCGTAGATAAATGCTGCTCTGTAGGTATGGTTTCGAAATGCCCAAAGCTATAACATTTAGATCTGTATGACCGTAGCTAAAAATATGAATCTATAGCTACAATTTACTTTGGCTGTAGCTGAAATGAAAAACTATGACTATGGACTCAGCTTGTCCATAGCTAAAATAAAAAGCTATAGCTATGGTCTAAGCAGTCTGCAGCCAAAAAACATGAATCATAGCTACAGTTTTTAATATTTGTAGCTAAAATTATTGATATATGGTTGATGGCATTTTTTTCTATATCAAATACCAAGCACAACATAAAAAGATGAAACTTGAATGCAAAATTCCAATACAAGATTTTATAATGAAAAAATGAATTAAGGTGTTTCAATACATCCATGTGTTTAAAATTTATTATAAATTCAAGGTTCTTGAATACATGAAACTCAATCCCCCTCAAAAAAAAAAAAAAAAAAAACAAAAACAAAAACAAAAACTTGACGTGTAAAATTTGATCAAATTGGTGTTCAGCCGCACATGTGAAGTATCCCCTTTACCATGTTTAACCTGTAAGAATATAATAGAAAATAAGTTAAAAATCACATTTTTAGAGATATAAAATCATGTATGAAAATCTAATTATTAACCATGCAATTAATATAAACTTACTTCATTCCAAGCCTAATGTTTAAAAAAATTAGAAGTACAAGGATTGAATATCAACCACATTATGCATTGAGCAATATAATGGTGTGGCAATGTGTATTAATTTCTATTTTTCCAACAAATACTTAAAATCAAGTAGAGGACTTAAAAGCAAAGATCAATAATCTACAACTGGAGGTGGACTCTTTAAGTGCACAAATGAGTGAAATGCAAAAAGAAAATAAACAGTTGAGAGAGGAACTTCAAGAAGGAAATGATAAAGCATCTACAAAGATAAAGTGCTTAATGGATCAGGTCAATGATCTGAAACTAGAACTAGACTCTTTACGATAAGCCCAGAAGAATGAGTTAGACGATAAAAGTAGTCTATTTTGATGTGGGGCTTATTGTTCAGTGGTGAATTCATATCATCTGTAAAGTGTAAACACATGAGCTCACTGATAACCAATACATGAAATAAAAAGAATGCTTGTGACTCATTGGTCCATAGAGGTAATGCAGAAACCATGCTCAACGATTTCTCAACACAACTGAAACTCTTTACAGACTCTCTATGGTTTCAACTAAGAATAAAAACAACTTAGGGAAAAAAACAGAAATTAACCCAATTTAAAGGTTGGCCATATTTATGAAAATGCCAGTAGATTCAATTACAGATAAGGAGAAATCAGTTCTCTCAACCCAATAATCCCATAAAATGGGTTAGGTATATATTGCCTACATCTAGCTCTAACCTAGAGTGCAGCTGGACTCATGGACCCATTGAAGCTTTTAAGGCCCTGAAGATAATTTCTCCATTTCCTCCCAGGCTTCTGTTGTAGTCAAGACTGTTTAGGGTAAAAGTCCAAAATTGATTTTCCAGCTTATTTCTTCTTCAAGTACATCCATTGGCTTACTCTAGGGACTTCCCAAGTGAATCAAATTAATTTACCATGCCAAGGTAGTAGGTCCGAAAATCCATGCTTAACAATGTCCTTGTTATGATCTATAATCCAACTCAAAAGCCTATTTGATGGAACTTGATTTGAATGTCACTGAGTAACAGGGGAAGACCCCAGATTACTTAATTACAAGGATAGAATGAAGAAGAAGCAGAGGAAGAAGGAAAGAGAGAGGAAGAGCAATGAGAGGATAACCTAGATCTGATTCAATTATTCTTCAGCTAGTTATTAATACTCTCCCTTACAATACATGTCTCAAGATTTGGGCTTCTAACTAATTGAGGTGACATGGCTTCCTGGAATATAAGAATCTGATTGGTGGGCTGAGGTGCCTGATTCCTCCTTGGGATGCAGTTAAGTCCTTGATAGCATGGGCTTGGGCTGAGTTCTCTGAGCCTGGATCAAACTGAGAGCTAGTTCCTATCACTATTCCAGTATATTTTTATGCCTAACTGACTGGACCACATGTTTTAAGAAAGGGAAATAGAAGAGTAGCAGTTCTAAACTTAATTAGCATCTCTTACAATTAGTCACAATACCCTCTTGGTTAAAAGTACTGCATTGATGTAAAGAAAAAATACAGCAAAATATACAATTTTAGATGGTTGTCCTATCAGTCTTCATCATTGTTTTGATTCTATTTGCATTTTCCGAAAAGCAATGTTTTCTCTGTTTTAGTTGTTTATTTTTCTCAGATGCTTTAGTTTTTAATTCTGTAATGTATATCTTTTGGTTTAAGCATGCTAAGCAATAAGCACTTCTTTCTATCCATTGAAGTCTTTACTTTTATGAATTTTTCTTACTCACTATGGACTATCTTTTGGTTTTAAGGAGCTGGAGAGTCAGGGAAGTCTACAATTTTTAAGCAGGTTTGGCATTATGTGCTTCCTTACCTATTCCTATTAGCTTCAATTTCTGTTTTGCATATATCAATATATTCTAACATTGACTAATACTTGGTAATGACAGATAAAACTTTTATTTCAAGCTGGCTTTGGGGGAGTTAAAGAGTTACATATCAGTCATTGATGCTAATTTGTATTAGACTATTAAAGTATGCATTATGTAATACTGAAAAGGGTGTGTTGGTTGTGTCCCTTTTGCAAAATATGAAAAATTCTTACCATCATTTGATGGAATAGATTGTAAAGCTTTTGCAATGAGATGAAT